CCCCTGGAGGGTGGGGGGAGGCAGGCTTTGGGGACGTCGGTGGAAAGCTCGTCTCCCCTGAGACAGAGAGGCCGCGTGACAGAGTGAATAGAACACTTGGCTTGGCATCAGCAAGACCTGGGTTCTACTTCTGCCCTGATTCTCTTTAGCCCTGCACAAGTCATGTGTCCCTTGCTGAGCCTCAGTTTCCTAATCTGTAAAATGGGGATAATAATGCTCAGAAAGTCAACAGGGTGGTTGGGCCTGGAGTCAGGAAGACCTGAGTTCAAAAGAAGCCTCAGACACTTCCTGTGTGACCTTTGGCAAGTCATTTAACCTCTGTTTGCCTCAGTTTCCTCATCTGTAAAATGGGGATAACAGCAGCATCTGCGACCCAAGGTGGTTACAAGGATCTAGTGGGACGTGTATAAAGTGCTTAGGACAGTCCCTGGTATGTAGTAGGGGCTTTATAAACTCTTATTGCCTTATCACCTTCCCCTCACCCCCATAGTGCCCTGTCCACATCAGCTAAGGTTACATCACCTTGATAATTTTAGGAACAAAACATTTTTATATTCAATCCTGGCCCTGCCGTCTGGGACCCTGTCACCCGCCTCCCTGAGCCTCAGTGTTCCCATCTATAAAGAGGAGCAGTAATCCCCCCCTTCTCAGGCTTGCTGGGAGTAGCAGGTGAGCTGGCGGGCATGAACTGCTCTGCACATCTTAAGTGACTGTTATCTTTGTTGTGATGGGCTCATCTCTGGTTCATGTGATTGTTTGGGTAATTCATCTCATTCGAATTTTTCTTAAAAGACGTTTAGATAGAAACAATCCTGGAATAATTCCTCATCTTGCTCTAGTGGTTTTTGTTGCTTTTATTTTATTTTGGCATTTTCTCTGAGGCATCACAGGCTCATACTTACAGGGCATCTGGTACAACCCCTTTATTTTAAACAGTGGCCAGAGAGGACAAGCAACTTATAACGTCCTAGATGGGGAGCTGGGTGGGAGCTCAGAGGCCAGAAAGTCCAGTCTTCCAGGAAGGTGACCCGCCCTTGGTCACACAGTGAATAAGAGTCAGGGTGGGATTTGAACCCAGGTCTCTGCCTCTTGGGCCAGAGACGTGGAAGGAGTTCCTTTAGCAAAGACGCATTAAGTTATCCAGGGGCAGAATATAGAATCCTGCGGTCTGGAGCCAGCTTTGGGGCAGAAGCCCAGCTCTGGCCAGAGGGGCAAAGCCCCCCCCCCCATTTGAGGCCCGATTCCTCTTCCCTCTGAAAGCTTCCTGGAAAGGCCAGCTCTAGAAGAAGAAAGCCGAGGCCCAAGCCCAGCTGCCGGCAGAGGCTCCTGCTATTAATCATAGGATCAATGCTTTTTGAGCGGGCCCTGCTTCCCCCTCGCCCTCTTTCATATGAATTACATGCAGATTGACCATGTGCTCAGCCAAGTCCTAAATAATAAATTCAATCGAAGGAAGAGGAAGGAAATAGAGATGTGGGCCAGGGAGGGGAGCGGCAGGTACATAGCGCAGTTTTTGAGGGTTTTTGTTTGTTTTTTTTTAACATTTGATTGGCTTGTTACTGGTGGATTTGAGAGCAGGGGCAAAAGAGGGGAGTTACACGCTAGCCAGCATTTCCTCATCTACAGAATTTGTTTTCCATGACTCCCCCCTAAAATAATTGCCTCTGGTCCCCACCCATTAAAAGGCCTCTTTGCTAGTTTGTCTTCGTTTCTCTTGGCATGGATGGATGGAAGGATGGGCCGCTTTGGCTGTCTAGCCTGGGAAGTGCCTTCACATGTCCAGGCAATCACCATGCGTGCTGAGGAAGAAGGCAGCCCGAGCTTAAAGGAAATCGGGCAGCGGGCACGGAGCGAGTTCTGTGCTGGCCCCATGCAGCTCCTCCTGGGGCTCCGTCTGGATGAGGAGTTGGGGTGCAGAGGACGTTGGCTGCTGGTGGACCCGATGGTGCTGTTCAGAGAGGCGGGGGAGTGAGGAATCATGGGATAGTAGATGTGAAGCCATGAGGGACCCTACAAGTCGTCTTGTCCAGGAACGTCCTTTTATAGATGAAGAAAGAGGCCCAGAAAGATAGAATGACTTGCCCAAGGTCACACGTGGGATAAGTGTCAGAGGCAGGATCTGAACCCAGGTCCTCTGTCTGCAGAGCTGGGCCTCTCAAGGAGATGTGAATGAAGCCCCCTACATTTAGCAAGGGGGTGAACGTCCTTACCTTTAGGGCTGCTTCATTCTTTTGTGACATAGGTCTCTTCCTGGGGTGTGTGCCCAAGGAGGCTGGATCACTAAGTCAAGTTTAGGGACCCTGTGGGGCTGCTCGTCTGAGCATATAGATGACCTTGGCTTCTCCAAGGCAGTGCCAGCAGAGTTCAGCTCCTGGCAGGCCTCTCCAGGCTGGAAAGGTACCCAGGAGGGGCCTGGCGATAAGTCCGTCATGCAAGCGCTGGCCTCGTTAAGCCCAGGGTGGCCCTGAGCCAGCTTGGCTGCAGAAAAACAAATGTTGCGGCCTAGAACAACTCTCAGATGGCATCTGCCGAATTAGAGAGAGGGTCCCTTCAGTAACTTAATTCTGTGCGTTTATTGAGCACCTGCTGTGTGCTGCTTTGCTGTGGTGGGAAAGACAAAGAATGGGACGGTCTTTGTCCTTAGAGAGCCTTCTTTTGCTCAGGGGAGTTGACCTGTACCTACGTAAGAGTTTAGAAAATCAATGTACAGGTTCATTGATCTGGTAGTTCAGTCTCGTCATGTCACAGAAGAAGCGAAGAGAAAAGGGCCCACAGATAAGCCCTGGCAGGGAGTGGCATTTGAGCCCATCTTCCTGGAGCCTGGACCTTTCCCTCCCACTAACGTTCTGGGGCCAGTGCTGGGGGGATAAAGACCCTGCCTGGAGCACACCTGCAAGGGCCAGCCGTGGTCAGCAAAGGTCGAGGACTTCATGGACTCTCCTTCTGATGACCTAGACATTGGGCCTTCCAGGGGTCACGAGAAGGGCCAGACACAAGGGTGCAAGGATTGGCCAAAAGGAAATTCAAAGTGGTTGGGGGGGAAGGGGGACCAGGAAGGGTTTCATGCAGAAGGTAATGGAGGAGTGAGTATTTGAGCAGCAGCTTGGAGGAAGAGAGGTCTCTGTGAGGCGGGGTGGGTCCTGGTGTTGGTCTGGGGAAGGAATGACCAGGTTGGAGAAGTGATATCATTGATCCTTGAAAGACAGGCCGTTGAGAGGGGTGGAAGAGGAATCTCAGAGCTTCAAGGGGCTTCCCAGACCATCTGGATTGAGGGTCCGTGAGCTCCGTGGCCCACCTGACACATGGTCATCCAGCCTGAGACTTCCACATTCCCCACGCTGTTACCGCCCCTCCCTGAGTATTTTTGGTATTGATTCATCTTCAAATGAGTTGTCCGCTCCCCTCGTCAATGGAAGCAAGGATCGTCTCTCATCTCAGTTCTCGACACACAGTAGGTAGTCAATAAATGCTTGCTGCCTTGATTGATTTACTTACATTGACCCTACCTCTGCCTTCCACCTTTGGCCTCCTTTATGGAAAAGAACACATGGGAGCTCTTGAACTCAAGTCTCAAGGGAATTTGGTGTCTCCTGATGGCGTGTGAGAGAGGCTCCCTTCTGAGCATCATCTATCTGTATCTTACAGCTTAGTGTCTCTCCTACTGGGCATTTCTCTCCCT